CAACTGTGGGACTACTTGCACACTGCAGTACCAGCTCCGTTGATGGACGCCGGAGCAGAGGTTGTCGACCTTCACGTTTACATCGCGAAGATCGACCGCGAGTTCAAGGCGCAACGGTACGACGACATCGACGCACCATTGCTATACATACGCATTCAGATCGGAGAGGCGAACTGTAGTGCCTTGATCGATTGCGGAGCATCTCGCAACTACATCAGCCAGGACTTCATGGTACGCGTCGGCCTTGGCCCATGTGTCTGGAGGAAGCCCCAGCCGACGCAAGTCACATTGGCGGACGGTCACACGCACAAGTTAATGGACCGGTGCATTGACAGCGTCCCAGTGTACTTTGCCCCTCACGCAAGTGAGGCGGTGTCCTTTGACATTCTGGACACCGAATTCGACATGATCTTGGGCATGTCATGGTCGCGAAGCAAGGATCACCCGGTGAACTTCTTCAACCGCACCGTTCACGTTCGTGACCGGAACGGAGTATTAGTTCCATGCACGGTTCCTCTTCCTCATCCTTCGATCAACTGCCACGTGGTATCCGCCGAAAGCATGCGAGCTTCCATCATCAGAGACGACATCGAGGAGATGGGGGTGTGTTTTCTCCATGCCCTCCCGCCCCATGACACTTCATCGACGGACTCACCTTCGGATCCACGCATCACTGAACTTCTCGACGCCTACAGCGACGTGTTCGAAGGCCCGCACGGAGTAGTACCGGATCGACCCATCCGCCACAAGATCATCCTCGAGGACAATATGGTAATGGCTGACCGGCGGGTGATCCGAAGATAGTTGTGCATAGAGCGTGCCGAAGTCCGGATCGGACTGATATGCCCGGATGAAGTGTCGCTGAAGCTCCTCGTCGAATGCGAAGGCATGATGTGTCATCGCGCAAAGATCAGGTCTTCGCGAGAGTGCATCTGCTGCGCGATTGGAGAGGCCGGGGACGTGCTTTGGTGTGAAGTCAAATTGGTCGATGAAGTACATCCATCGTCCGATCGTGCTGCTCACCGTCTCCTGCGTCTTGTAGTAGGTCAGTGGATTGTTGTCTGTGATCCATGTGAACCTACGACGCCCAAGGAGGAAGTGCCGACAGCGTTTGAGAGCCATCACGAATGCGAGCAGCTCCTTCTTCCTTGCATCATCAAGCGAGTTGATGGGAGGCACTTTGTGGATGAAATACTCCACAGGGTGCCAGTC